CCCTCCTCGGCCTTCCAAAGTGCTGAGATTACAGGCGTGAGCCACCACGCACAGCCTCAAGGTATATTTAACCCATCCCATTTTACAGATGAAGACTGAATTTTACAGAGATTAATTCCCTTGTCCAAGGTCACTCAAAGAGGAAAGGGAGAGTTAAAATTTGATCTGAAATTCAGTCTCGCACCAAAACCTGTGCTTTTTCCAACCTTCTCTACCTTTCTTTCAGCACTATTACTTTCTTCCATTTAATATTAATCTGACATAAATGCTCTTACTGAAAGATTATGTTAACCTCACTAAATGTAGAAAAAGCACTCAAAAGGGCCATTTTCATCTCATGGATGCTCTCGCCTATCATTTAATCATGGTAAGAATATATTCAGTAGCTTTCATTTGCTGCTACAAAAGTTGGTACACCATAGCTACATGATCTAGTTAAACTAATTAGGAATTCTTTAAACCCAAATTCCTGGTGAGGAAAGGTAAAACAAATACATAATCAAAATGTTATGTACAAAACCTTACAAAACTAAGCACAGGTGTTTCTTATATTCCTGATGAGGAAGCGTGCTTAAGGAGCATACCAGAAACCAAGGGCAGTTTGACACACTCAGAAGTTATAGATTACCTGCTCAATCAAATTCCCACAGGAATTCTAGAGCTTTAATTCGGTTCACCAGATCCTATCATGTTTGATCTACATTAGCAGTGCTTTATAATTTCTTTCACATATCTGTCTGTTCGCATCAACAGTCTCCATCTCATTTTCTTAAGAATTATATTTTAATCTCTTGCTGACCAGCATTTAAAATAACTGAAGGACACTGAAAAGGGCACAAAACTGCCTTGTTTGAAAAAATATTCTACGAGTTATCAAATAGATGAACTAAATGAATAGATGCCAGATTCATAATGAATTAAAAAGGAGCTTTAAAAAGGCATCCTTACTCTTACAACAACAGAAAGACAACCCAATTTAAAAATGGGCTAAAGTGCTGAATAGGTATTTCTCCAAAGACACACTGAACATCATCTGTCATTATGGAAAGCAAAGCAAAACCACAATGAGATGCCACTTCACATCCACTAGGATGGCTTAAAAAAAAAAAGACATGAACAAGTGCTGACAAGGATACAGGGCAATTGGAACCCTCATACATTGTTAGTGGGATTAAAAAATGGTAGAGCCACTTTGGGAAATGTTAATAGTTTAGCAGTTCCTCAACAAGTTAACCATAGGATTACCCTGTCTCAGCAATTCTACTTAAAGGTATATACCCAAGAGAAATAAAAATATTTGTCCAAATATTTGTCCAACCCGTACACAAATGTTCATAACAGCATTATTCATAATAGTAAAAAAAAACCACCCAAATGTCTATAAACTGATGAATGGATATTTATATCATTATTGTTTAGCAATAAACAGGAATAAAATGTCAAAACATCCTACAACATGAATGAACCCCAAAAACATTATGTTAAGTCAAAGAAATTAGTCACAAAAGGCCAAGTATTATATGATTCCATTCAAATGAAATGTCCAGAAGAGGAAAATCTATAGAAATAAGAAAGATTAGTGATGGCCACAGGTTGGGTATAGAGAGGAATAGACAGTGATTGCTAAACATGGGTTGTTGGGTTTTTCTTTTTTTTTTCCTGCAGTGATGGAAACATTCTGGAATCAGATATTAGTGATAGTCACAGTTGCAGAATTCTGTGACTACTTTAAAACCATTGAATTGTGGCCGGGCGCAGTAGCTCAAGCCTGTAATCCCAGCACTTTGGGAGGCCGAGACGGGCGGATCACGAGGTCAGGAGATCGAGACCATCCTGGCTAACACAGTAAAACCCGTCTCTACTAAAAATACAAAAAAAAAACTAGCCGGGCGAGGTGGTGGGCGCCTGTAGTCCCAGCTACTCAGGAGGCTGAGGCGGAGAATGGCGTGAACCCGGGAGGCGGAGCTTGCAGTAAGCTGAGATCCGGCCACTGCACTCTAGCCTGGGTGACAGAGCCAGACTCCGTCTCAAAAAAAAAAAAAAAAAAAAAAACCACTGAATTGTATACTTTAAAAGGGTGAATGTTATGCTATGTGAACTGGATCTCAATAAAGCCGCTGCTTTAAAAAAGGAGATTCCTACTCTTTGACACTGAAGTTAAGGACAGCTACAGCTTTCCAATATCCATTCCTTGGGCACTCAGTGGCAAGATATCTACAATAAAAGGATCTAAATCTGAACAAGTGGAGTTAGCGTCCATTTTCTCACAGGCTTGATCTCTACACATCTTTTTTTTTTTTTTTTCTGGCCACTTAAAAAGAATGAGGCAGCCAGGTGTTGTGGCTCACACCTATAATCCAGTGCTTTGGGAGGCTGAGGATCACTTGAGACCAATTCAAAACCAGCCTGGCCAATATAGTGAGACCACATCCCTACTAAGAAGAATTTTTTTAAAAAAATTAACTAGGGCCGGGTGTGATGGCTCACGCCTGTAATCCCAACACTTTGGGAGGCCAAGGCAGGTGGATCCCTTGAGCCTAGGAGTTTGAGACTAGCCCGGACAACATGGCGAAACTCCATCTCTCTAAAAATAATAATAATTTTTTAAAAACCGACTGGCTTAAGGCTAATCAGAACTCACACCTGAAACCTTCAGAAATCATACTGCTGGTGCACAATGGGGAAAAGTTGTTGCAGAATCAACCACTGCATGGCTCACAGTGCATTGCTGCATACTTAATCTGATCTTACAAAAGAAGTATTAGAAAGATCCAAATGATACACACATGGGAAAAGGGATTTTGTCTTCTCATTTTAAAACTATGTTAAAGCTTTCTGCCTATTTAGGATAAAGAGGTCATATTCAGAGACTGTTGACATGTATGCATTCTCAGCAAAACATCTACAGGGTGTGGTCATCAGATATTATTTAAAAGGACCAATAAGCCAGGCGTGGTTGCTCACACCTGTAATCCCAGCACTTTGGGAGGCCGAGGCGGGCACATCACCTGAAGTCAGGAGTTCGAGACCAGCCTGGGCAACATGGTGAAACCCCATATCTACTAAAAATATAAAAATTAGCTGGGCATGGTGGCACGTGCCTGTAATCCCAGCTACCCAGGAGGCTGAGGCAGGAGAATCGCCTGAACCTGGGAAGCGGATAGGTGCTGCACTCTAGCCTAGGTGACAGAGTGAGACTCTGTCTCAAAAAAAAAAAAAGGACCAATAGGAGAACAAATTTTAAAAGAATGCTAAAGGCTGGGCATGGTGGCTCATACCTGTAATCCCAGCACTTTGGGAGGTCAAGGCAAGTGGATTACTTTAGGTCAGGAGTTCGATACCAGCCTGGCCAACATGGTGAAACCCCATCTCTACTCAAAATACAAAAAATTAGCCAGGTGTGGTGGTGAACACCTGTAGTCCCAGCTACTAGGGAGGCAGAGGCAGGAGAATCACTTGAACTCCGGAGGCAGAGGTTAACGGTGAGCCAAGATCACACCACTGCACTCCCGCCTGGATGACACAGCCAGACACTGTCTCAAAAAAAAAAAAAAAGAATGCTGAAGAGAGACACAGCAATAGTTCTTAAGCACAGGTGATATTTGGTAAAGTCTAAAGACATTTTTGGCTATCAGCTAGGGAGGGAAGCGCTACCCGCACCTAGCGGATAGAGGCCAGGGATGCTACTAAACATCTTACAATGCACAAGAGAGCCTCTCAACCACAAAGAATGATCTGAAACAAAGTATCAGACATGCCAAGGTTGAGTAACTCTGAGTACTACCACCGAGAGTCCTGTCAGTGCATCTAAAGTCCAAATACTACTCCACAGTATGAAAGTATTAATCTATCTGTTCTAGTGTGAGAAGCTGAGTTTCGCAAATGAAAAACAGTGAGCAAAAAGCAGAAACCACTTTAATCAGAGTGGTTACTGTTCTAACATTCCAAAAGCAAATTTATCTCATGTGTTTGTGGGACTCATTGCTTTTTTAAAAGGAATATAAAAAGCAGTTTCCTTTTTTTCTCTTTTGAGGCAGAGTCTTGCTCTGTCACCTAGGCTGGAGTGCAGTGACGCAATCTCAGCTCATGGCAGCCTCTGCTTCCTAGGTTCAAGTAATTCTCCTGCCTCAGCCTCCCGAGTAGCTGGGATTACAGGCGCATGCCACCATGCCCAGCTAAATTTTTTTTGTATTTTTAGTAGAGATAGCGTTTCTCCGTGTTGGTCAGGCTGGTCTCGAACTCCTGACCTCAGGTGATCCACCCACCTTGGCTTCCCAAAGTGCTGGGATTACAGGCATGAACCACCGCGGCTGGCCTAAAATACAGTTTTCTATCACTTTACTATATAATGCTATTCTTTAATAGGAAAGATCTATCAGTGTACATTTAGGTTTAGAGCCTTTTGGTATTTTGAAGCAGTCCTAAAAGCTAGCACAATACAAGTAACTGCAACCATAATACACTGTTCCTGGATACCAAGGTAAGAAGAATGAAGAAGCAATTCTTTTCAAGGCCCACCAGATTTGGACACTAGAATAAAAACAGGCTTCATTCCTCTACTCACTAGAAACATGGTCTTTCTAGTATTTATCTTTGCTAGATCCCTCATGCTATTCTCCTCCTAAACAAATATACAAATAATTTTAGTCCCTCCATGGTATCCAATAGTTCATGGGGTTTAATAACACAGGAATGCCTTTCTTATCCATATACCTATAATTTCATCCCTACTCTCAACAAGTCATTCTCAGAGTAGGAAAGGAAATAAGCGGAGTGTCCTCAAACTTATGTTAAAACACAACCTTCTCCCCAGTGTTATCTCATACTATACTCCCTCTCACTCCCACACTCCCACCACATTAGCCATCCTGCTACTCTTTCCTGTTGTAAGTATAAGACCATATAATATCCATGTCCTAAACCCCCAACCCAATCTTAAACCAGGGGCTTTTCGCTTGTTCCCTCTACTGAAATACTCTTCACCCATATCTTTTTTTTTTAATGTAATACTGTTTATTTAACTTCAAAAACATTTCAGCATTCTAAACATACAAAAAAAAAATAACAGAACGTTGCAAATCATGTTTAAGTACAGGAGGTTCTTAAACTTTCACTGATGCAGTGGCTCTTTGCTTTGCTGACAATGAAGAGTTCTACAGTTTGTTTAAAAACAAACAGTTTAAAAACTATCGCACTTAAAAAAAAAAAAATTATCATGCCAGCTGACCCCTCCTTTGTCCACAGCTAAGATGGCAGCAGAATGCTATGTCACTATATACAGAAACAAGACAACCTGAAGCTAAATGGATGCCCCCTGCAGAGTCGACAGGTTCAGCCTCACAGTGCACACCCTGAGCTACAGCCTCTCCAAAAGGCATCTTCCCCACAGCCTCAACGCCGAGCAAGGAGCATCAAGAGTTTGTCTCGATTGTTTTGTTCTTTTTACAAACTATAGATATATACAGTTGAAAACTCAGGATTTCTAGCCAATAACCACAGTTAACACCACCTTACAAACTAAAAAAAAAAAAAAGCCAGAAACATCTTTAAATGCCTTGTCACACCAACAGCAAAGTGCACAGAGTGAGGAGAACAAGAAGAGGGTCTTTTCATTTTAAAAATGTTTGGAAATACGTACAACTTTGATACAGTTTCGGGGTGCTCCAGACACCCATGGCCACTTCATGTAAACCAATGACAATTTCTAGAGCACTTTGAGAGACTACAATATGATCATGATCAAATTTTGTAATTAAACCTAGTGAGGGCAACAGACACTTCTCAAATAAGAGATGTGTCAATTATCGTGCTCCCCTACTCTAAGTATTCACAAGGAGACAGATAAACAGTTTCTTTATTCATCCTCCTCCTCCTCCTCCTCTTCTTCTTCCTCCTCCTCTTCTTCATCTTCCTCTTCCACCTTTTTCCAGGCAACTTTAGTAGGACCCTTTGCACCATCAAACTTTCCTTTTGACTTACAGTCAGCAACATCCTTCTCATACTTCTCCTTCAGCTTTGCTGCCTTAGTGATGTAAGGCTGCTTTTCACTGTCATTTAAATTCTTCCACATCTCACCCAGCTTTTTTGCCACGTCTCCAATAGAGATGCCGGGGTTTGTGGATTTGATCTTGGGGCGGAATTCTGAACAGAACAGGAAGAATCCAGATGGCGGCCTTTTGGGAGCATTAGGATCCTTCTTCTTCTTGCCTCCCTTAGCTGGTCCATAATCCTTCATTTCCCGATCATAGCGCACTTTATCCGCCTTTGCCATTTCATCAAATTTAGATTTCTCTTTCCCAGACATCATCTTCCACCTCTCAGAGCACTTATTGGAAACTTCTGCAAAATTGACAGGGACCTCTGGGTTTTTCTTCTTATGTTCTTCTCTGCACATCTGCACAAAGAAGGCATAAGCAGACATCTTGCCCTTTGGTTTCTTGAGGTCACCTTTAGCCATCCTGACTGTATTGTTCCTCTTCACCCGTATCTTTACATGGATTTCTCCTTGTCATATATGTCTCAGCTTAAGTATCATGAACTTAGAGAAATCTTCTCTGACTACTCAAATCTAAATTAATCCTCCAATCACTCCACTGTATCAAATTTCCCATAGTTTATTAATAATCAACTAGTTAAGTATTCAGTACCTTTAAACAGCCTTTCTTGTTTGGCGAATTTCTCATCCCTTAAATCCTACCTCCTCAAAATAAAAGTCAGAAATTCAGTTACCCATCCTCTCTTGCAAACCGGGAGCAGGTAATTGACCTATATTATGCCAATAAAACACATTCACATGATATTCATTAGGAGGCAAGTGATATAATGGAGACGCCATGTGAAATCCATTCTAAAGAACATTTCAGAGTTATATCAGCATTCTTTCAGAAGCAGAAATAGCAGAGGTCCTAGCAGTGACATCTCACACTCAGCACAGACAGTTACAAGTTCTAATACCTATTCCCAGTGGCAAAAGCAGTAGTCTCCAATGATTTGGTCCAGTGGTATAATTTGGGCATTTTTCCTAGCTAAGTAGACGCCAAGACTAATTCTCTGGCATCCGTGAAGATTCTGTGAGCTATCTTATAAGATTTAAAAAAAAATTTTTTTTTTTAATTCTGCTTAAACTACTGGGCTTTGCCGTTTCAACTAAGAGCTCTGATTCATTCTTCATACATTTTTTCATCAGATTCTTACTGATATTTTCTTGTTAATTATTTATTAGCTGTCTCTCCCCACAAGAATATAAAACTTCTTAAGGACAGGGACATTATCTGTCGTGTTCATTCCTATAAACCCAATATTTAGCATAGTGCTTCCCATACAAGAGGCACTCAAAAAAAACTTCCTACTGCTACACAAATACATACTCGGGAACCAATACAAAGAATTCAAAGTATCAGTACTCTAGGAGTTAAGAGATAAAAAGGATCAATGTGGTCTAGAGAAAGCAAAGAGGCTTCATGAAGGCGGTGACACTTGAGTGGAGTACTGAAAAGACAGATTGTAATCAGGAATGTAGAAAGGCAGAGATGTATCTTCGAAGGGATAAAACAAATGTCTGGTGCTAGGAATGAATGCAGCAGGCAGAGAGTAAAGTGGGATTAGGGAAAAGTATGTTGGGCTCGATAGGAGATATTATCAGACATGCAAGATGAGCAAGATTATGAATGGCTCTGAATGCTAGGCTTGGGGAATGTTCCATTTGATGATGTTTCAAGAACACTAATCCTCAATGAGTATTTTCATCTGTTCTTTATTCTAGATGTTATCTGCTGTGTAAAACTACAGCAGCTACCCACACGTTCTCTACAGCATTCCCTCTCTGAGCACTGGTGCTCTATATTTATCTGTTCAAGCTGAGAGACTACAAGAGGAAGAGATTCCTATAATTAATCCTCTTGCAACCAAGTGGATACTCACTTTAAAGATAAAAATCTATTGCCAAAATGGCCTTTATTTTCCAACCACCATCCCCAAAGCCATACATTAAAATTCATCTCAACTCAATTTACCTTCTAGTCTATTAGAATAATTTCCAGATACTAGGCTGAGGTGGGAGGATCCTTTGATCCCAGGAGTACAAGACCAGCCTGGCAACAAAGCAAGATCCTATCTTAAATTATATAAATATAAAAAACAGATAGGATAATCATGCAAGTATGAGGAAAAATATGGAAGGATATATATATGACATGGTTATCTTGGAGCAAAATGGGAAGGAGAGAGAACCAGGCAAGAAAGGAGGAAAGAAATTTGATTTTAGTTATATGAAAGGCAATATGTATGAACATATAGATTAATTTTTTTTTTTTTGAGACAGAGTTTCACTCCTGTTGCCTAGGCTGGAGCATAATGGCGTGATCTTGGCTCACTGCAACCTCCGCCTCCTGGGTTCAAGCAATTCTCCTGCCTCAGTCTCCTGAGTAGCTGAGATTACAGGTGCCCACCACCACGCCCAACTAATTTTTGTATTTTAGTAGAGACAGGGTTTCACCATGTTGGTCAGGCTGGTCTCGAACTCCTGACATCAGGTGATCCACCCACCTCAGCCTCCCAAAGTGTTGGGATTACAGGCGTGAGCCACCGCCCCTGGCTTACATTTCATTTAAAATATTTTTTAAACGAAAATAGTATTAGCCAGGCACAATGGCTCACAACTGTAATCCCAACACTTTCAGAGGCCCAGGTGGGAGGATTACTTAAGATCAGGAGTTAGAGACCAGCTTAGGCAACGTAGTAGGACTCCATCTCTATAAAAAAGTTTTTAAATTAGCCAGGTGTGGGGCAGGCGCAGTGGCTCACGCCTGTAATCCCAGCACTGTGGAGGCCAAGGCAGGTGGATCACGATGTCAGGATATTGCAACCATCCTGGATAACACAGTGAAACCCCATTTCTACTAAAAAAGACAAAAAATTAGCCGGACGTGGTGGCGGGCGCCTGTAGTCCCAGCTACTCGGGAGGCTGAGATAGGAGAATGGTGTGAACCCAGGAGGTGGAGCTTGCAGTGAGCCAAGATCGCACCACTGCACTCCAGCTGGGCGACAGAGTGAAACTCCATCTCAAAAGAAAAAAAAAAATTGGCCAGGTGTGGTGGTGTGTGTATGTAGACCCAGCTACTTGGAGAGGCCGAGGTGGGAGGATTCCCTACACCCAGGAAGTCAAGGCTCAGGAGAGTAAGCCATGCTCACACCACTGCACTATAGCCTGGATGACCACATGAGACCTTGTTTCAAAAAAATAAAAAAGAAACACAGTATGAAAGTTATTAAAAACCAGCTAATCCAACCATCCAGATGCCCCCAAAGATTCACTTATTCAACACTAAGTGCTTATTTTGTGCAATGAACTGGGAAAAAGGTTGGCATCTCCTTTCCAATAAAAAAATCGAATACAAATAATCCATCTATTCCAAAGGATTTCCATTCCATTTTGAAGCTGATCTAATGAGAGAAAATTCTTCCATATGCTGAGCTGTAATTTGCTTCTCCATAAAGAAAAAGAATGAATCTAATTTAACCTTCATCCACATAGTTGTCTTCAAATATCTTCAAGACTAGTACCGTGTTTACTTGGCAACATTTACAGGTAGTTCCCTACTTTCATATGTAACACAGCCCTTTAAATGTGCCTAAGAGTTGAATGTCCAGATTCAGACTTAAGGGACTTAAAATGTTAAAAAGTGACAAACTTGGGCGGGGGGTGGGGGTAGAAATGCAGCTAAAATTACAAAGGATTAGTTTCCCTAATATACAAAGAACTCCCACAAATTACAAAGAAAAAACCAACATCTCTACAAGAGTTAAGGAACATGAGTTTTAGTTCACAGCAAAGGGAAAGACAGTACTTTTAAAAGATGCTCAATTTCACTTATACAAGAAAAACATATTAAAGCTTCATTGAGATACCATTTTTTCACCAGTCAGAAAGTTTAGTACCACATTGTGTTGGCAAAGACGTAAGCAGATAGTAATTCTAATACATTCTACTTTAAGGAATACATTCTATAAACTCATACACAAGCAATGATGAATGCACAAGGTTATTCACCATAGCAATGCAAATAACTGTAAAAGACTGGAAACAACATACATGTGTAACAGGGAATTGATTTTTTAAAAGTATACTATATCTTCTATATTAAAGAATCATAAACTATTTCTTAACATTCTTGATGAGCAAATCTAGAGACAAAAGGATGGGCTTTCCAGTGACCTTAGAAGAATCTGACAGTTTGTGTTAAAAGTTCTCGAAGATACCATCTGAAACAGATGAACTTCTAAGGATGTTCTGAATAGCATTATTACAATTTGTGGCTGTTACCTGTGAGTGTAGAAGAACACAGTCAGGGAGGTAACCTAATCTATTTGCAGAGCAACAAACTACAAAAGTCATCAGGTGAAAATGAGGAAAGAATGTTTACCTTTAAAATTCTCAAATGTGCTAGCAAAAGCAGGTTGCAAGAACAAATACTGATAGAGCCACTCTGGAATATTATGCTGCCATTAAATATGTATGACAAGTCTGTTAAATATTTTGTATAATGCTGAGCAAAAAAAGCAAAATATAGTTACATGGGTTTTTTTCTTCCTTGAGTCATCTTCAATGGTAAGTTATACGGTTTTATGTTGTATATAAAGATGACCTATTCTTTTATCAAAGCAAGATGAATTCCATTAAAAAATGTCTAGAAGGAAATACATAAAAATGTTAACAATGGTTGTCTCTGAGTAGCACTTCTTTCTTCCATTTTTCTGTACATCTCAATTTTCTATGATAAAATATTTAGTACTTTTAAAACAGAATTTTTTTAAAAATGAATGATTCTGAATATGTTAGAAAAAATAAGAATCATAGCATCATATATATGAACAGAAAACTAAGTTTATTAATTTAATCTCTGTTCTGACAAATTTGGTAATTTTTAAAAACTCAACTGCAAAAAAAAGACTAGAAAATAAACATTTTCTTTTTTTTAAGATGGAATCTCACTCTGTCAACCAGGCTGGAGTACACTGGCCCAATCTTGGCTCACTGCAAACTCCGCCTCCCAGGTTCACACCATTCTCCTGCCTCAGCCTCCCGAGTTGCTGGGACTACAGGCGCCCGCCACCACAACTGACTAATCTTTTGTATCTTTAGTAGAGATGGGGTTTCACCATGTTAGCCAGGATGGTCTTGATCAATCCTGACCTCGTGATCTGCCTGCCTCGGCCTCCCAAAGTGCTGGGATTACAGGCATGAGCCACCGCACCTGGCCAAAAATAAACATTTTCTAAACATAACAGTAACAGAACAAAGGAAATTAAGCTTTAATAAGAAAAAGAGACTTTTTCTCCCATGTTCAATAGTCTTGAGAAAAGAAATAATGCAAATTTTAGTTAAAATGTCACCCAAGAAAGTAACAAAAGGTCTCATAAAAAAAAGAAACGGACTTTGTCTCTATTTCTTAATCATCTAACAGGAAGAAGCAGCAACTTTCAGTGCAAGCTACTCTCTTCTTTGATTTATAAATCAAACTCCCCCCAAAAATGGGTTATCGAAATTAATCTTGAAAAATTAATTTTTAAAAAGTAATTATAGCTATCATGTTTTCAACTCTGGTTACACTAGAATTTTGCTTGTAAAAATAGTTAAATGTTAAAAAAAAAAAAAGAAAGAAAAAAGTGGCAATAACTACAACTCAATCTTGTTACCTCATTATAATGTCGGCTACGCCTAGATTAAGTCAAGCGGAAGGTTAAAGTTCCTTGGTAAAATAGAAAAGAAAAAAAACAGCTGAGGTTAAGGGGAAAAAGTGGCACCTAGTTCATAAGAAGTCATATACCCTTTTTTTTTTTTTTTTGATGGAGTTTCGCTCTTGTTGCCCATGCTGGAGTGCAAAGGCGCAATCTCTCCTCACTGCAATCTCCGCCTCCCAGGTTCAAGTGATTCTCCTGCCTCAGCCTCCCGAATAGCTGGGATTCAGATGCCCACACCTTTTTTTAATTATAATAAATCAGTATGTTATACTAATTGATACATTTTAATATTTATACCAAGAATTCCTTATAAACCCAATTTATCTTTAAATAAAGTGTATAAATTCCATTGTGTCATAACTTAGCACAGATCTTCAAACCCACAATGATGTTACTGTGAGAACAATATACTACCAAATGTACACTTAACCATAAATATTGTTGTATTCCCCATAAGGAGCTTAAGTGGATAGTAATTCAAGTTGCAATTACCAATAAGAGGCCCAAACTGATTTGTTTATATGTATCACAGATATTTTTGTTTCAAACAAAATGAAATGATTCTTTTTAAGTTTCAACAACAAATATAACCATTATCCCCACCCACAGATGACACTGCCTAGAAATAGCTGTAATGCATCACTACAGCAAGGCACTAGACGAGTACAAAAACACTGTAGTGTATATTAAAATCATCTCAGAACAACCAATAAAACAAAAATTTCATGTAGGGAGATCATGGAAGACCTTACTGAGAACATAAGATTTGAGCAGAGACTTGAGAGGGATAAGAAATAAGAAAACCTGCATATATTCAGAAGAAAAGCATTCTAATGATAGAAAACTGCAATGCAAAAATCCTATGAGGCAGGTGCATGTTCAGCATGTTTGAGGAATAGCAAGGAGGTCAGTATCACAAAATGGAGTGGGCAAGAGGGAAAGTGGCAGCAGATGGGAGTCAGACAGGCAGCCAAATCAACAGTGATGTGCTCAAGCCAATACTGGCTGGAGAGCAGATTGCTGTACATTCTAGAACTTTGAATCAGCCAGAGTGGGAGTAATTTTACCAGTAAAACAGGCAAATGCTACAAATCAGAACCTTTTCCCCCTCCAGAGAGCCAATTTATCGTCACTACCTGTAGGCCCCTTGAAGAACTCTTGTCTTTTACTGAGTGAGATCAGAAGCTACTGGATAAGTTCCCTTCTGCCTGACGTCATCATTCCCACTGCTGAGTTATGACCACAGGTAAGAAAGAACAAAAGCAGGGAGACTAATTAGAAAGTTGTTAATATAATCTAGGTGAGATACATTGTTAACCTGAACCAAAGAGCCAGTGGTGAAACAATGAGAAGTAATCAACTCACTGTCTCACCACTGGCTCTTTTGTTCAGGCTCTGGATACAAAGAACTATTCTGATTTGCATCAGTAGGTAGCAACAATTACTAAGCCTCCTATCTAGAAATCAATATCTAACTCTAACCTAAACATGTCATTCCTGGTTCTGAATTAAGACTGTTAGTTGGATGTATAAAGTACTTCAAGAAGCTCAAATAACCAGGAGTCTTAGATGCACGTTACATATCTTCAGTTATTAAGGGTTCTATTATCATTCCAACTGATCAACATATACATGTATTGAACATCTATTATAAGACACTGCAGAGAACACAAGTAAAATCTGTAATCCAAGCCCCTTCCTCAAGGAGGTTACAATCTGAAGTTTAAACTAAAGCATCCATATATAAAAAGATAGATTCAACACAATGAAAGTATAAAATGTGTGGCAGGGCGAAGGAGTATTCTATAAATTGGAGAGGAGGAGGAAGAAATCACTGAACAGATGGGACTTGAGCTGTGCCTTGAAGGATGGATAGAGTGAGATGATGAGAAATGAACAAACGGAACAAGTAAGGGCCTAATAGGCAGTGGATCTGCAAAGTGAAAGGGCTAAGACAGAGGTGGGAATGCACTTGGTGATTAAGGAGTAATCTACTCATGGCATTCAGGAGCGTAGGGAGACAGAGGTTACAATTGGGAACTATGGAGACATATACCTGAATTCCTAATTTCATCACTTACTAGCTTGGGCAAGTTACATAGGACCTTCCTGTCTTTATTTCTTCAGCAGTAGAAATTATAGTACCTACTTTATAGGACTGGTGCACAGAATATATGAAATAAAATCATATACGTATGGTATGTCACACTACCTGAAAGTTAGTAAGCAGTCACTGGTTAGCAAAACCATTACTGGCCTTTTCCAGCCCCAGCTCCGGACCCTGCAGCCGCCAAGATGTTGATGCCTACGAAGAACCAGATTGCCATTTATGAACTCCTTTTTAAGGAGGGAGTCATGGTGGCCAAGAAGGATGTCCACATGCCTAAGCACCCGGAGCTGGCAGACAAGAATGTGCCCAACCTTCATGTCATGAAGGCCATGCAGTCTCTCAAGTCCCGGGGCTACGTGAAGGAACAGTTTGCCTGGAGACATTTCTACTGGTACCTTACCAATGAGGGTATCCAGTATCTCCGTGATTACCTTCATCTGCCCCCAGAGATTGTGCCTGCCACCCTACGCCGTAGCCGTCCAGAGACTGGCAGGCCTAGGCCTAAAGGTCTGGAGGGTGAGCGACCTGCGAGACTCACAAGAGGGGAAGCTGACAGAGATACCTACAGACGGAGTGCTGTGCCATCTGGTGCCGACAAGAAAGCCAAGGCTGGGGCTGGGTCAGCAACCGAATTCCAGTTTAGAGGCGGATTCAGTCGTGGACGTGGTCAGTCACCTCAGTAAAATTGGAGAAGATTCTTTTGCATTGAATAAACTTACAGCCAAAAAACCTTAAAAAAAAAAAATTACTGGCCAGGCACAGTGACTCATGCCTGTAAACCCAGGCCAAAGTGGGAGGATTGCTTGAGGCTAGGAGTGCAAGACCAGCTGGGCAACCTAGTGAGACCTCGTCTCTCCAAAAAAAAAATTTTAATTAGATAGGCGTAGTATTTTGCACCTGTAGTCAGTCCCAGCTACTCAGGAGGCTGAAGTGGGAGGGTCACTTGAGGCCAGGAGCTCAAGACCAGCCTGTGTAACACGGCAAGACTCCCATCTCAATCAACCAACTAACCAATCAATAAAAATGATTGCGAAGTGGCAATGGTTAATGGGTACAATAATTAAAAGAATGAATAAGACCTAGAATTTGATAGCACAACAGGGTGACTATAGTCAATAATAATTTAATTGTACATTTTAAAATAACTAAAAGAACATAATTGTATTGTTTGAAATACAAAGGATAAATGCTTGAGGTGATTTATCTTCAAGTCACTGGAAAAACCAAAAATTTTATAAGAAAAGTCACAAAAAGGGCTTTGTTTGGGAAGAAGATTCTACATTCTGGTTATGTTAAGTGATACCTTAAAAGCCAAAAGAACATGTAAAATACACACACAACCAAGACTGCAGCTCACTCGCTGATGTAACAATCAGTGGGAAGGAACACATACCAGCACTCACGAACACACGAATATTCCAAAGGCACAACTATTTCACTGAACATTCTTTACTGTAGTGAAAGAACAGATGAACATTTTGACTTGGTGACTCAAAACAGACCAAAAAGAAAAGATGTCCTCCTTTGGGGCATCTCAAAAACCTGGTTACAATAAAAAGAGACCATTAACATCAGCTACTTTATTCTTCTTATAATACAAATAAGACTGTAAAGGTTCCAGTAACATCATGGTATCTTGATAATGCTATAATTCTGACAGCATATATTCTAAGATAAAAGGTTCATTTGTTCAACTGGTTCTCTGTATATCCTGTAAATGTTAACAGTGAAATGTTGTGTTTTTTCCAGAATTGCTAATACTTTTAATACTTTTTGTATATACTTTCTGAATAACATGCAAATGAAAAAGTATAAACTTGATAATTTTTCACAAAATGAACCCACCCATGTAACCAATGCCTAAACCAAGAGACAGAATATTACTAGCACTCCAGGAGCCCCCTTCATATCCTCTGTCACTTTCCCCAAACCCCCAACAAGGGTAATCAATCTCCTGACTTCTGACACTATTGATTAGTTTCACCTGCTTTTGAACTTATATAAATGGAATCATGCACTGTTAGTGTCTGGCTTCTTTCGTTCATCATGTTATTTGTGAGAACCATGCATTTTTATATGTAGTTGTAACCTGTTCATTCTGATCACCGTTTAATACTCATTATGTGGTTATATCACAAATTATATACTTATTCTACTGCTGACGGGCACTTGGAAAATTCCAGTTTGGACTATTAGTCCTGCCGTGAACATTTCTGTCCATGTCTTTTGGTGAATATAGACATATAATTGTGTTTTGTATAAATCTAGAAATGGAACTGCTGAGTCATAGGGCATGCATGTGTTCAACTTTTGTAAATAACTAATGAACTTTTAAGGAAAAACTATTTTAAATCTTCATGGGGAAATATGAATGATTAATAGATTCATCAGAAGGTATGGACTCCAAAATTTCTTTCAGTGGGGAAAAAACTTATTGACGTAGGATAGTTGATCCACATCATTCCCAAAGGAGGCAATTTACTTTAGAATATTTTCACCAGCAATTTAGCATATGACACTTAATAAGAGAAGTAACCAAATCCATCTTGCCCATTCTGAAACTGATGATGCTAAAATTTTTTTTTTTTTTTTTTTTTTTTTTTTTTTTTTTTTTTTTTGAGACGGAGTCTCGCTCTGTCGCCCAGGCTGGAGTGCAGTGGCCGGATCTCAGCTCACTGCAAGCTCCGCCTCCCGGGTTCATACCATTCTCCAGTCTCAGCCTCCTGAGTAGCTGGGACTACAGGCGCCCGCCACCTCGCCCGGCTAGTTTTTTTGTAGTTTTAGTAGAGACGGGGTTTCACCGTGTTAGCCAGGATGGTCTCGATCTTCTGACCTCGTGATCCGCCCGCCTCGGCCTCCCAAAGTGCTGGGATTACAGGCTTGAGCCACCGCGCCCGGCCGATGATGCTAAAATTTAGAAACAACTAATGAGCCATTACTATCAATAAGATAAAGTAACAATTTTTTTCCCCAACATGTAACAGGAGAATATAAACTTTACGAGTCCGAACTTTGCCTGTTGTACTCATTTAAATAGACTCTTGGAAACTGAAAGGGACTTCAGAACTAGCCTAACCTTCACGTGATCATATAAAGGTCTCCTATTTCAATGAACATGCTAATAAAAATTCCTTTAATCCAAGAACAGAAAAAGAATATAGGCAAAAACTAAGAGAATCTGAATATAGTATGGACTTTAGTTAATAATAATGTATCAAGATTGGTTCATTAATTGTAACAAATGTACCAAAGTAATGTAAAATGTTAATAACAGAAGAAGGTGAGGGATATATGGGAATTCTGTGTCTGATCTTTCCCATTTTTTTGTAAATCTAAAATTGTTCAAAAATTTTTTTAAAGTCCAATTAAAACTCTGCAACATAATCTGCAGATTGCAACACACCTGCTAAACTCCTTTCAAAATGCAATCCAGATGCACTTTTAAAGCTGTTAGACACACATACCCACATACACATACACAAATATACTTTCTATCTATGGTCTTAGATACATAGATATATGAGGAAAGCATTCTATCTATGCCAATTTTAGTGTTGCTCCTAGCTTCAAAATTATGAACAAGGCTCTAACTTCTTTTTTTATTCCATCTAAGCCAACCTTTCTGAGTATATACTATAAGCACTTAGTGACTCATTAAGAAGCAATCCCGGCCGGGCACGGTGGCTCACACCTATAATCCCAGCACGTTGGGAGCCCAAGGCAGGCGGATCACCTGAGGTCAGGAGTTTGAGACCAGCCTGGCCAAAGTGGTGAAACCCTGTCTCTACAAAAATTAACCAGGCGTGGTGGTGGGTGCCTATAATCCCAGCTACTCAGGAAGCTGAGGTAGGAGAATTGCTTGAACTCGGGAGGCAGAGGTTGCAGTGAGCCGAGATCGTGCCATTGCACTCCAGCCTGGGCGAGAGAGCGAGACTCTGTCACAAAAAAAGAAACAATCCCCTAGTTATCTTCAAACAATAAAAGCATCCAAATTCCAAGTAAGACCGATACTCTAACAACCATATCTTTGTGGTTTAAATCATTGAGTCTTTGCTTTTACTTCAGGGGCCAAAAAAAAAAAGAGAGAGAGAGAGAGAAAGGAAATAGACTGTGCACCTTTCAACTAGTAGGGAAAACAAGCATCCCCTAATATGGTGTGAGACCTAGCAAAAGGAACCCTAGGAAAGGAAGCAGGAGACCTACCCTCTGGTTTCAGTAGTAGAACACTGATTTGCTGTGATCCTTGAATAACTCTGGTCCTCAATTTCTATTACCCTGACTGGTATTTTAACTGTAATAATTATTCCATGAATCTGGAGGTCCTTTCTTTCTTTCAAGGAACAGGGTCTTGCTCTGTCATCCAGGCTGGAGTACAATGGCGTGATCACAGCTCACTGCAGCCTCAAATTTCCTGGCTCAAGCGATCCTTTCACCTCAGCCTCCCAAGTAGCCATAACTACAGGGGCATGCTACACCATGCCCAACTAATTTTTTGTTTTAAATGGGGCCTCACTATATTGCCCAAGCTGGTCAGGCACTCCTGGCCTCCAGCGATCCTCACACCTCAGCCTCCCAAAGTGTTCAGATTACACATGTGAGTTACCATGCCCAGCCTATAAAACCTTTAGAGAATCCAATAATAATAGTAACATCCTGCCACTGAATGAATGCCTATACCCAGTGAGAAAGCAAAAGAGAAAGAGAAACGAGAGTCAGTGTGAAAGAGAAAGAATAAATGAATGAAAGAAAAGACAAGACAAAGAAGCTGGACTGCCATTATAGCTTTCCATTTCAGTAACCTTGTATTAGTAATCAATCATACCACTATACATACTGCAAATATTTACTTGTCAGTCAGCATTATGGCACAGGTCTTGGCTTTCCTGGTTTTCTCTTTAGAAGCCTATTTGAGAACAATTGTGGTTCTGGCAAGCTTATTTCTAAATACAATTTGAAGTTTGGTTCACCTATAGTAGCAGTTGGCAAACTTTTTCTTAAAGGGCCAAATAATAAACACTTCAGGCTTTATGGACGATATAGTCTCCGTTGTAACAACTAAACTCTGTCCTTATAGTGCCAGGGCAACCACAGACAATCTGTAAACAAATGTATATGTCTGTGTTGCAATAAAACTTTGTTTACAAAATCAAGCAACCATTTATGCTACAGTTTGTCAAGGCCTGTTCTACAGTAACAGGGGGCAGAAAAATCAACTGGCAATACAGATTTCATAAAACCACATGAGTTCACACCAAAATAAACTGTTCTGCTTGCAGGGAAAAAATGTTTATGAATCATGATTTTCACATACCTGCAAATGTTCAAGTTTCCCCTGCGTGAACAGGTCACATCACCAAAACCTAAGACAGAGCAGGAAAACACTCTCCCTTACATGGTTGTTATGACATACAGGGGATGTGTTAATTTATATAGGCAAAATTTACAAGATGACCTGCAAAAGTAAGATACCAGGTTTTAGCAACTTTAATGATAAACATAGAAACCCATACCCGATTAACCTCAACCATTACTTCTTCCATATATTAAGCCAAATTAATTAAGATAAATGCCAAGGTAACTGGCTTTCCTAGGAGAGCTGCCCTGTTTCCATGCAATCTAGTTGGTTTACACCAGCAGAGCCTTGGTCATCCATAACCTATTAAATTTCCAAGAGGCCAGAGTAACTGTTTGAGGTAGCACAGTTCTGATTTATTGGGGTTGTTTACCAA